TTTTCATTGTGGCTCAGTCCTTTCCTGCCTATTCCACCCTCTTTGGGTTCTTGTCCCACAGGGGCCCTGCCCAGGCCATGGGAACTGCAAACTGACACCCAACTTGGAACCTGGGCGATGTCATCCCAGAGAAACGTCGTTTGCCAGTGGTGGACCAAACTGGTACCAGTCTTCCAGCACTTTATGAACTCAGCAGGCTTTTTTTGGACTGGTTTGGGAACTTAACCACCATGTAAATATTGTTTTCATTTAAAAATTGAGGAGTCCACTATGCAAAGCAGTAAGATTTGCTCATGCCCTCCCTGCCCTCCTTACTATCTAGTAAGACGAGACCTAAACTCACAGGAAAATACACTGCCACAGAGCCCAGGGCCGGAGTTCGTTCTCTAGACCAGCCGTCCTTAAATGTGGGCCTGTTGAGGGATCGCTTGGGAGTGTTTAAAAAATGTGCATGTTCTGACCACATTCCACTCAATTCTGATTCAGTGTCTCGCGCTGGAGAAGGAACTGGTACATGCATTCAGAGAGAGGAGGTCAGAACAGGCTGGAGTCGGTGCAGGAGGCTTTGTGAAGGAGGGTCCTGAGTTTGTCCTTTTCCTAGGGGAGTCCGAGCCGTGGCCAGGCAGGCCTTGCGCGGCGTCCTCCCTAGCTGCTGTTTCTTGGTGTCCCTGCCCTGACACCTGGCTGCCGAGGCCCTCAGCTCAGGCGTGTTGGCGCGTTCTTCCTTGATCAGGAAGTGTCTGCCTGGGGCTGCTGGTGTGCCACCCCAGCAGCCAGCTGTCACCATTAATCTTCTGGGTCCAGTAATTGGGGTGGACACTGAGCATCACTTTGAATCAAGCTTCAGAGATCCCAGGGCTGTTTTCTCCTGTGTCATCCATTTCCCCCTGGGCGGGGAGGAAGGTGGGGGGAAAGCAGCCTTTTCAGACATTTGTCATATTTTCCTGGCTTCTCGGGGTGGAGAGGAGGTACATTTGAGCCCAGGAGCAGACCTCTGGGGTAACTGGGCCCGCAGAGCTGCTGCTCTGTCTTTGTCTCTGAACAGGGCGAGCTGCCAGGGAGGCTGGGACTGAGGGTGGAGCAGCCCCGGAGGGCGGGTGGGGGGATGAAGTAGTTGAAATCCGATCGGTTCCTATCTGTCATTAGGAGTGGGTTAGTGTCCGCGTGGCTCCCCAAATCCCACTTCATCACTCATAATGCAGGATTGGGCTCTGGAGGCCTCCGGGCTGTGGTTTCGGGTGAGGAGAGTGAGTTGTGCAAGCGCAGCTCTGAGCCTTGGCATTTGCATCTTGTAATTAGCGTTGCGGGAGGGGGCTCGGAACTAGCACACGCCGGCCTCGCTCCACGCATTTCCACGTAATTCTCCCAACCGCCCTACGAATAGGGCTTATTATCTCCGTTTTATAGGTGAAGAAGCTCGCCTGTGGTCACAGAGCATTAATGTCACAGCTGGAATTCCAGCAGCTCAAGCTTTTAAATTACAGCGTGCTGCTTCTAGGGCATCGGCGTGGAAGTCAGGAGACTTGAGCTTTGGTTCAGGCTGTGCCACCAATTATGTGGCCTTGGACAACTCCCCTCACTCGCAAGTCACTTTCCTCAACTGCGAAACGGGGTGGAGGGTGGTGGCAGATGCTCAGTCCCCAGCAGAGGCCTGTGTCTCCCCGCGTCCCTGGAGCCCTTGGCTGCAACGAGGCCGTGCAGCGGGGGGTCTCCCGGCAGCCCAAGTCTGAGCAGAGCTGAGCCAGTGCCCAGAGCGGCTGTGCTCCCTCTGGGACAGCGTCCGTCACTCCTGCGCCTCCTGGGGAACTGGGGCTCCTGCTCAGACTCCGATTTCCCTGCTTGTTTCAAGGCTTGTTTCTCCCTACCCAATAGAGGTTTCCTAAAAATATAAAAAAGCCGTCACCGTGTCGTTGAGAAAATTGTGTAAATAAAAGTGTAAATCAGATCACCCACAGTTCAAATGCTAATCTGGCCACTCAAAAGCGACTTTTCAGTTTACTGCCAGTCTCCCACTCTAAAATCCTAGGGTTCTGAGAGTCCTTTTTTGGGGGTATTATCCCTGGATCCACTCTCTGGCTCGGATTTGCTTCAAATAATGCATGTTTATTTAGGTAACTGGGGCTAGAAGGACTCTTCCCTACCATCTGAGACATTTCTTAAGGCCGTCTCCTGGAATATAACGGGTCATTTCACTGCTAATCTTTGGGTAAATTAACTAAATTCCCTCTATCCAAGATTCGCCTTCGTTTATCCAGGTGCTGGGAGCTTCAAAGGTTTTTCTTTGAGGCTTTTGGCCACAGTCGAAGAGGTCACCAGGAGCTATGAAAAGAGTCCCAGGTTCTTGAGGGAGTGGCTTTTCCAAGGTGGACATCAGGAACTCCAGAGCTGTGATTTCTAATCTTGACTGTTCCTTTGGTATGTGACCGTCCCTGTGTCTTCATTGCTTCATCCATGACGGTGGAGAAATTAGAAAGCCAAAGAGCTTATGCCTAAGTGGGATATGTTGCCGGACATCGTGCCTGTGAGTTGCGTGCTGTTTTAATAGTGTTCCATTATGTACAGACATCGTTTCGTTTGGTAGTCACGACAGTCCTGTGAAGTAGGCTGAACAGATATATTTCTTCTATTTCTATGCTGTGTGAGTTTGCACCCTCTGTATTAATGAAAAGAATTTTGAAGTGGCTTAAAACAGGACAAAGTCAGTGAGATCTCAGCGCAGAAAACATATAATAGCTAACACTTACTGAGAGTCTTCTATGCACTAGGGACAATTCCAAGTGCTCCTAAATGTATTAGCTCATCTTTACACCTGTCTTATGAGGTAGGTACTATTATTATCCCTATTTTTACAGAAGGGAAAACCGAGGCTCAGTGTCACTCAAAATGGGGCACAGACTTTTAAATACCTCTCCATAGCAAATAAGACTGGAGATAATGTTAGTGCCACAGGCTTCCATCAGGAATCCTGAATTATTTTCCAGGGATTATTATCACTGTTTTACAGGTGAGGATTGTGAGCTAAAGAATGGTTAAGGGACTTGCTCAAGGTTGCCAGGCTGGAAAATGGTATAAACAGAGCTGGATGGGACTGCCAACTAGTGCAACCTCTGTGGAAAGCAATATGGAGATACCTCAAAGAGATACAAGTAGATCTACCATTTGATCCAGCAATCCCATTACTGGGCATCTACCCCAAAGAACAAAAGACATTCCATAAAAAAGAAATCTGCTGTCGAATGTTTATAGCAGCACAATTCACAATTGCAAAGATGTGGAAACAACCCAAGCGCCCATCAATACATGAGTGGATTAATAAAATGTGGTATATGTATACCATGGAGTACTGAATAGTACAAGAAACAATGGTGATATAGCACCTCTTGTATTTTCCTGGATAGAGCTGGAACCCATTCTACTAAGTGAAGTATCCCAAGAATGGAAAACTAAGCACCACATGTACTCACCAGCAAATTGGTTTCACTGATCAACACCTAAGTGCACACATAGGAATAACATTTACTGGGTGTCGGGCAGATGGGAGGGGGGAGGAGGGGACGGGTATATACAAACATAATGAGTGCGATGTGCACCGTGTGGGGGATGGACACGCTTGAGCTCAGACTTGGGTGGGGCAAGGGCAATGTAACCTAAACATTTGTACCCCCATAATATGCATAAATAAAAAAAAAGAACTGAAAAAAAAGAAAAATGTAGAATAGCATCTGCACAATGCTGAATTGAAAGGAGAGCAGCATAATAGTACTGTATTCGGCTGTTATCATTTGGCAAATTTATTTAATGATAACTAGAAATTTAGGGAGTTTATTATCAATGAACATCATGAAAAAAAAGAAAACAATGGGAAACCATCAAAATGGCTAATAAAAGGAGATTGATTAAATATAATTTGCTTCATCCATAGAATGGGAAACAACACAGCAAATTAAATCATCTGTAGAAGAGTATTCAATTAATGTTAACATTGATTACTTCTGGATGATGGGATTGTGAATGTTTTTGTTTTTTAAAATTTCTGTATTCTGTTCTTTTGCAAAATGAATCTCATTAACTTGTTATA